CTCTTCCTCTTCTTCCTTTCCACACTAGACCTTAAATCCTGGTTCAACCCTGTCCCCAAATTTACATTCTACATGACACTCAAGTTCACCCCCGTAATTATCTCAGTGTATTTTTTGTTTCCAGATTACATTGAAGTCACCCCGGTTTCGCCCCACACATCCCAGGGTAAACGGATGCTGTTATAAGCAGGGATTGTGTCATGAGTTGAACTCTGATAGAACCAGGGATGAGATTAAAGTGCAGAAAGGACCTCTGTCTACCTTCTAAAAAATGTCTTGAAGGCAACTGCTAATTTTGAGTTCCTAGTCACTGAAAGGAATAAGAAAACTTCTACTCTGGTTTCTTTTCTCTTTTTTTATCATGGAACTCAAAGGGGTGTACACAACACTCGTGAGGGTATACATCTTGAATTCCCATATAATTTCTCATCCAAGTCTCATAATGGCCAAAGACCTTGTAAATGACACACTTACCTGTCCTCTCTTCCATCTATTAAACATGTTAATTTAATTCTTTTAGATACTTATGCCCGAAGCAGCTTACAACATCATTCTCCTCCATTTTATCCTTATGACGACCCTGTGGCGAAGACTGGGGTGAGAGAGATGGACCGGCCCAAAGTCACCCCGTGAGATTCCACGGCATCTTGAACTCGGTGTTTTTAGGAAGGGGGGCTTTTGCCCAGCATATCTTCTGATCGGCCATTGGAGATTAAAAAACAAAAACAAAAACCCATAGCTTTGGCAGCACCTGCCACTACGGCTCCAGGAACTTCACTGTGTGACTGAAGGGAAGCTGCGGCAGCCATTTTGTGGCTGGCTTCTCCTCCTACAGCAGCCGTCTCGTGACAGCCATCTTGTGACTGCCCCCACCACATTGTGTCAGGATTCCAAAAGGGCCCACCGGCTCAAAAAGGTTGGGGGCCCCCTGCTTTAACCACTATGCAATGTTGTGTCCACTTGAGAACGGCGACAAATCCTAACTTTTCAACTGGCTGGTGAAGTCAAAAGACCAAAGTGGGCGTGACCGCGAACAAGTGGCAGCCGCTGAAAATAGCATCGATGGTTCTAGTTCTCAAATCCCTTCCACAACATCTCACCTTGCCTTGAAATAGCATAATTTCCCATTTGTTCCCAACCTCCTGTCATCATCATATATGCCCCAGAGGGCACTACGGTCGGGGTCACGACATCGACTGACCATCCCAGGCCCTGAGGATGCCAGGCTCGCTGCCGCCAGGGCCTTTTCAGTGGTGGCTCCGTACTGGTGGAATGAACTCCCGGAAGAGATCAGGGCCCTGCAGGATCTTTTACAGTCCCGCAGGGCCTGCAAGACGGAGCTCTTCTACCAGGCTTTCAATGAGGAGCCGCCACACCACTACCACCAACGTCTGGGTTGGCCCTAACCTGGAGACTGAGCCACACCATCGCATGAGGCCGAAAGATCACTGACTTGGAAATAACTGCTTGCACATTACCTGGTATGCCATCTCAATTCTGGAAAGACGATTGCTATCACTAGCACTTTGATTATTTGACTGTTAATTTTTTTTAAAAAAATGTTTTAACTTTTGTATATGGTTTTATGGTACTGGGTACCGACCAATGTAAGCTGCCCTGAGCCTGTTCGCGGGGAGGGCGGGGGTATAAACGGAATAAATAAATAAATAAATCCACCAATGATGTCGGATGAGAAACGGGACAGAATGAGTGGCCCACCATTGCAGCACAGAATAAGTTCTAAAATAGGTTATGGAGGAGGAGGAGGAGGAGATTGGAGGTTTTGCGAGTTCACGCAGTAAAACCCAACCGCAAAGTGCACTGGAAGTGGATTTAAAGTGGATCATTTAATGTGTGTGACCACAGCCTGTGAGGTAGGTGGGGCTCAGAGAGCTCTTTGGAGGACTGCTCTTGAGAGAACAGCTCTGAAAGAACTTGTTACTGACCCAAGGCCACACCGGCAGCTGCATGTTGAGGAGTGGGGAAAGGGAGTGGGGCAAGCAGGCCTGCGGCTTCTGTTTTCAGAAGCAGTCATGCATTTACTGCCGCTTCCACTCTCAACTGACTACAGTTGCCCTTATTGCAGTTACAGTCATCTTGGGCCCACAATGGGACACTTGTCAATCGCTTCCATGGTGTGCACAATGGCAGTGAGAGGAAACTGCAATGTGAGGAAATATTAGGAAAAAGAGGTTGAAAATCAGACACCAGCCCTCGTTGTGGCAACACACAAGTCTATGGACAGAATGTCCATCATTTGAATATGCTGGATGCCTGTCCACATTCCAACAAAGTTGAGCTAGTGATGGGCACATGAACACGTGAAGCTGCCTTCTACTGAATCAGATCACTGGTCCATCTAAGTTCAGTATTGTCTGCTCAGACTGGCAGCAGCTCTCCGGGGTCTGAGGCAGAGACCTTTCACATCACCTGCTGACAGATCTTTTAACTAGAGATGCCGGGGATTGAACCGGGGACCTTCTGCACGCCAAGCGGATGCTTCACCACTGAGTCCCGGCTGCTCCCACTTTGAAACTGGCTACATTGCAAAGAGAGGACAACTCTGGCTACGTCCACATGTTAGGCCTGTAGCACCATCACTCCACGATAGCAGCGATTCTCAACTGGATCATTTAGTATTTATTTGTTTAAGACATTTATGAGCCGCTTTTCTACCCTGTGGAACTCAAGGCAGCTTACAATGTAAATAAAACCATAGAGATAGATAGATAGGATAGATAGGATAGACACCAGAGACAGGATGCCGACCCCGAAGACTGCCTGGAGGAAGAAGCCGGAGCCGGAGAACAACAAGCCCTGCCACCTGGGTGCCGGTAGGCAGCCCCACCACTGTACTATGTGGCCTTAGATAGGGAATGAATTGTATTTGAAACTTGCCTGTAAACAGCTCAGAGACCCTTCGGAGTCAGAGTGGTATATAAGTCAAATGTATAAATAAATAAAAAATAAATAGATAGATTGGATAGATTAGATTAGATTAGATTAGATAGATAGATTAGATAGATTAGATAGATTAGATAGATTAGATAGATAGATGGATGATAGGTAGGTAGGTAGGTAGGTAGGTAGACAGACAGACGTAAAAGATTGCAATTTAAAATCTCTTTTAAAACTGGCAATAATTTCTATTAAAAAACCAAATTAGTCAAATGCAATCCTAAATAAAACTGTCTTCAGCTGCCTCTTGAAGATCAAAAGGGAGGGGGCCAGGTGGACCACCCTGAGAAGTTTGTTCAGTAATCCAGGGGCTGCCACCAAAAAGGCCCTCTTTTGTGTGACCACCCCTTCTTTGATTGGTGAGATAGTCAGGAGGGCCTCTCGCTGTGACCTGAATTCCGGGACGAGAAAGCCTGGGGAAAGATGATCCTTCAGACACCCCGGTCGCAAGCTCCCTCGGAAAGTCTAGTTGCCAGCGACTGCTAAAATAGCAACAATAGAGCAACACCCAACCTCGTGTGGAGGACGGGCTAAAAACAGCATCTCAAATGTGCAGAGCATCTTCGCAGCTGAGAAAGGGTTCTGCAATTGAGGCTTTTCCCCCCATCTGGAGAAAAAAAAGAATATGAGTTTATAAATTCACAAATAGAATGAATATAGAAATAACAGGGGAGGCCCTTGTGAGGAAGACGGAGCAGGGACCTGAAGCTGTGGAGAGAGATCTGTTCCTGAAGATATTCCTGCAGAGAGAATCATCACATTTAAATTCAGGGACTCAAACTCATCTTGGCAATTTGATCTAATAACACTGCCTTCCCCAAACAGCCCAGATCTCCCCTTGACTGACAAGTCATCATTGCGCATTACTTTGCAGGTTAAATCAAGTCTGAGTGTCACACGCCATGGAATGATCGACCGTCTCTCTTGAAGTCCGGGCACCTTCTGGGTCTTCACTTGAAACAATTAAAACACTCTATCATGTGTTGCTTTCTTAGATCGCTTTACATATCCCTGTTTGTCTTTTGGGGTTTTTTTTGTAGGATTGTTAGTTTGTCGTCCCCCCCATCTTTCCTGGTTGTACGTGTTTGATGCTAGCTGTGGAAATCAGGCAAATAATCAGGCAGGTCTCCCAACTCACCCAGCAGAGATGCCAGTTTGTCAAAACAATTAGTGTTCATTTTGTGTGTATTTGGTTAGATCTGCAGTGACTGATCAGTATAAATTATGTATTGGAGCCATCCAGATGCACTTGTTTATTCATGCATGGACTTGAAGAATTTCCATCTCCATACAGTACACACACACATATGCACGCACGCACACACACACACAAGATCCAGACTGGAAACCAAAAATCTACGATGCTCCAAACATAATGTTGGACTCTCTGTATTGTACTCTTAAATTTAAGGCCCTTTGAGTTCTCACTTATGAATCCTGCAAAGATCTTGCCCTTCTGTTTTGTCAAGTAAACACACTTTAAGTCCTCCCATTGTTGTATTTTCTTGTTATTCCCACTTGGAAAGATGCAGTTCAAAGACACAGCCATTAGCACACAGTGAGTTTATTTCTAAATTTTAAAAAGGCATCCTAAGAAATAATCATTTTAAATATGACACACAAAATTAAAGATTTCATGTCAATCTCCAAGGCATTTAAAATTGCTCTTTTCTAACAGCAGTGATTCCTCAGGCAAAACCGTTTGGTGAAATACAGATTCGGGTTTAAGGGCTGTCATTTCCCTGAACTTCTCTTTACAGAGGAAGAAACGGGAATAGCTGTTGTAAATATATAGATGATGTTTGGGGGGAAACAGGGTTTCGGTAGCCAGAGAGAAATTTCTACTAGAACTCACCCGTTGGAAATATATAAATAAATAAATAAATAAATGACATGGCTGAAAAGAAACTCTCCAGTGTGATTTAAGATAACCAGAAAAGTTAGCATTATCAAACCCAGAGGGGTCCAAGAATCCATTCATGTAAGCTTTATGCCAATGTTTACAACCCGCTCAAAGAAAGATGTTTCAGAATTTCCTGACAGGTTGTTTCCTAGCCTCCTAAGTGAAATAAAAGAGATTCCGCATATATAACAGCAGAATTGCAGAGGAACCAAAGACAGCAGCTTTGTCTTCTCAGAAAATATAGATCTCGCAGAGGGAGAGGCAATTGGGTAGAAATGGTAGAAGTTAACGCCAGTTTCGAGGGAGCATAGTTCAATATTCCAGGTTGCTATGGGTATTGGGTAATTTTAAATGGTCACATGCTCCCGGTATTAGTGCAAATGTATATACATAGATTACGGTATGGAAAAATCACTAAAGGGCAGTAAAGAGAGAAACTTAATTGCAAAAGGGCTTCTTATAAAGCGACCTTCTGCTGCTGGACACATAGCAGGTAATGAATTCTTTCTTTGCTTTTTAATTAAGGAATGTACTGATTTGCATTATCTAAATCACAACATTGATTCCCCCCCCCTCCACAGAATGATGGCTTTAGTTTCAGCTTTCTCATTTGTTTTTATGGACCAGAGCAAAGGAAATAAATTAACATATTGTATTTTTAGGGGGGGGACATAAGGCTACTTGCCTATAATTCAATAGTTCTATGTCGCTCTTTCGTAACTGTTCTGCTGGAAAAAGATTTAAACACCATTTTTTTTAAAAAAAATCCCAGTTGTGCTTGGAGCATTTAAGAAATACATGAACAGAAAAGAGCAATTAATGTGCACACCGCAGCGTGCAACTCTTCTGACATATACACGGTTCCATAAAAATTGCTGAGCCAGGTGATTTAGAACAAGTCGTTTTATTTCGATATAATTAATGTTCTCTTTCCACTGGGGATTTACACAATTAAATAATTAGCCATAATGTCACCCAAGGGTGTTCTTAATGACTCGGAGTGTACATTTATCTCTGTTAACAATAATTCAACCTGATCAAGTTTATATTTTGTCAGGGAAAACCTGTGCTATTGTGTTTTGTTCTGTTTTGTCTGTTTCAAATTAGAAAAGATTAGCCATCCTAGGGCAAACCATCACAGTCAGGTTTGATTTAAAGATAATTATTACTCTTCTTCAGGTAAGTCAGCGGTGTCTGGATATAAACAAATTGGGTCTTTCTGCATAACTGGTTAAGCAGTCTTGAAAGCTATGGAACATTACAGGCCACTTTCTGCAAAGAAAAAAATATGCACAATATTTTTAAAAATACAGATACGATGGGATGGTATCACAGCGACCTACAGAATGCTGGAATCGTCAGTCCCTTTATTTAGTTGGACAGATGAAAAATACCGGAAACAGAGGGAGACTCTCTTCTGACTACTTCTTCGTATTCCACAAATCAGGGTAAAAGCATTCCTGCAGTAAGAGCTATTTCACATGTTAACAGCAGTGACTGGCAACCACTGGTGTCTGCATACTCCACCAGGACATCACACCATCTTCCACTCTTTAGTAAGCACCCTTGTAGAATGCTCACATTGTTGAACTTTGTTAAATTTGGGGGTTTACAGTGGTGGTTGTGTTTTCTTTAATAAATCCAATGGGGCATCTTTGAAGGTCAAATAATGTTCAGAAAGCCGTCAACAAGCTTTCAAGAGATATAGACCTTTCCTAGGCTCAGTGCCTGTAAAACGAAAATTAAAAGGTAAGGAGAGGGGAGAGATAATAGAATTAATCCTCTCTGTGGGGCTCCCTGGTAGGTGGCAGTGAGATAGCATAGCGACCAATGAGAATGAAATATGAACTGGGAGGCTGCGCATTCGAATTTCATCTCCCCTTAGTCTTGGGTAAGCCAATCTCTTTTTGCTTTAGTTCCACCATCAGCAATATCTATTTACTATATATGTATCTATACTCTAGGAGCTGCGGTGGCTCAAGTGGTTAAGATGCTCAACTGCAGGTTGTGAAAGGTCGGTAGTTCAGCAGTTCGAGACCCGAGTGTGCCGCATGACGGGGTGAGCTCCCAACTCTAGTTCCAGCTCCTGCCAACCTAGCAGTTCGAAAGCAAGAAATTGCAAGTAGATAAATAGGTACCACTTCGGTGGGAAGGTAACAGTGTTCCGTGCACCTTGGTGTTTAGTCATGCCGGCCACATGATCATGGAAATGTCTTCGGACAGCGCTGGCTCTTCGGCTTTGAAACGGAGATGAGCACCGCAACCCTAGAGTCGGATTTGACTGGCTTTCGAGCAAGGGAACCTTTACCTTTACCTTTTTATCTATACTCCATAAATATTATAGTCATGTGATATATTTATTTACTATATATTCATCACACTCCTTGGGGACAAGACCTTTGAGGCAGTTTCAAACCATGTAAAACAAACCGTTCAGCCACACAGACCACCAAGTCACAACCATTTATTTACTTGTTTGCAAATGTTCCGCCGTTTGAAGCACCGCCCAAACATCTATGCAAACACACCCAGGGAAGGGGTTTCCGGTTTGTTCCCAGCTCACCCGAAGATTTCACTTTTGCAAATCAATGGCGCACTCTATCAAATCATAAGGTCAGCACCAATGCTCCCTCTAAGCTGTGAGGTCTCGTGAGCAAAAATTCTACTTCATGAACTGCCGGCATTAAGTTGTGAGCGAGCGATTTGGCTGCTGCATAAATTAGTTTGCTCTGGAGCCTTCCTTCCTGAGCGAAGGCAAAAAGGTGTGAGCCAGAGGCTAGAAAACTGTGAGCTAGCTCACACTCACTCAGCTTAGAGGGAACACTGGCCCAGCACTCTACAGCCCTTAAGCAAATCCAGCTCTGAGAGAAACATCTCCTTCTGGTCTTCTGATTCCAGACCCACAGGCTGTTGGCTGTGGGGTGGTACATATGGGGAGGCTGTGCCCCCCCCTTTCCCTCATGCCCGGCCCTAAACTATTTGCAAACCGTTGATGAAAAGTTTAATGCTCTGCAGCAGTGCAGACATGTTTAAACAGAAGAAGAGGAAGAAAGGGAAACAGGTGTCCGTCTAGAACGTATTATGTACGACTTCCTGTAGCAGACAGAGGTAGCCGAGTCAAGCCCGGTAGCACCTTCAGAACCAACACGATTTGTCAGGAGGAAAGAGCAAGAGTCCAGTAGCACCTTAAAGCCTGACAACATTTGTGGCAGGGGAGGAGCCTTCCTGAGTCCCTGCTCTTCTTGAGTGACCAGTGTTCCCTCTAAGCTGAGTGAGTGTGAGCTAGCTCAGTTTTTTTAGCCTCCGGCTCACACACTTTTGCCTTAGCCCAGGAAGGAGGGCTCCAGAGCAAACTAAATGATGAAGTTGCCAAATCGCTCGCTCACAACTTGAATGCCAGTAGCTCACAAGGTAGAATTTTAATTTTTTTTGCTCAAAAGACTCCACAGCTTAGATTGGCAGTGACTCGGAAAAGCTCCTGCTCTGCCACAAATGGACTCCTGCTCTTTTCTGCTGCTACAGAGATGTGACCTTGGGTCAGTCACAAGCTCTGGCACAGCTGTCCTTGAAAAAGAGCAGTTTGTGTCAGAGCTCTCTCAGCCCCCCCCCACCTCACAGGGTGTCTGTTGTGGGGAGGGGAAGGGAAAGGAATTTGTAAGCCGCTCTGAGACTCCAAGTGAAGGGCGGGGTATAAATCCAATCTCTTCTTCTTGCTCTTTTCTGCTGCTACAGACAGACTAACATGGCTACCCATCCAGATTTCCAGACTGTGAGCTTTGGAGAGCTTTGACTCTGGAAAGCTCACATTCTGAAAGTTGGCCTCTAAGGTGCTATTAGACTCCAGTCTTCTTCTCTTCCGCTGCAGACCCACAGGGCTACCCTCTGAAGGGACACAGAAGAGTGTGTGTTTGAAGGTGGGGAGCAGGCCCCACAAAAGACAGGAGAATGAGAGAGTCGGTAGGGTCAGAGACTCCAATTAATGAGAAGGGAGAGAAATAAGAGAGAGAGACAGAGAGAGAGAGAGACTGCAAGCAGAAGGGATTTCTACCTGGCCGAGAGTATTCCATCCCCCGCGGTAGCAGGTTGACTGTTGATTCCCCCTTTTGGCAAAGACGGGTGGCTGAGCGCCTGATCTCCCTTCCTCCCGTCTAATCTTGATCTGGGCTGCGGCCGGTCTGATCAGATCTTCCACTTCACTCGCGGCTCTCTAGCGCCACCCGTAGAGGATGTGCGTCTCTGCAATCGCCTTTAATAAAAAAAATTGCATCTCTACCTATTTGTCTTCAATAACCTCCGAGAAGAGTCCACGGGCGTCTAGGCCCGCGCCCTGCTTTTGGGGTTGAACCGGATTAATAGCTCATTTGGAGAGTTTTCACGGACGGGGGAGTCATTCTGTCCCGTTCAAAGCTCCCCCATTAAAGGGTTGTTGCTGTTGCTGATTTTTTGCTAGGAAAGTTTTGGAAGGGCAGGGGGGGGGGGAAAGAGACCTGGTCTGTTTCTAGGGGGATTAAAGGGCCCGTTTACACACCGGGAGTAAGAAAACAAAGAAGCGACGCCTCGTGGCCTAAAGGAACAGCAAGGATGCCTCGCTACAATATTTATCTCACCCTCTCTCCAAGGAATGTAGGGCAACGGAAACGGCTCCACCTGTCACTGGTTTGTTTGCACAACGACCCTGCGAGGTAGGTAGGGCCGAGCGAGAAAGAGACTGGACGCCTACTTTGCTTCACGACCGAGTTGGGATTTGAACCCTGGAGTCCTTCATTTTAGTTCGCTTTGCTCGATCTAAGAGGTCGAAGGAAAGAGAGGATTCAGAGCAGGAACCGGTTGGGGAAAGGAATTTAACGTCTCGTTAGGGACCTAGGGAGGAAGAAATACCTTCCCTCCCCTTGCCTTGCATCCATGTGGACAGAAAGCCCCACACACACACGCTGCTGGCGCTCCTTCAATATAGAGCAAACTCTGGAATAACTCCTCATTTTATTTCAGGCATACACACGAGGAGAGAGAACTCTGGATTAGCTCTTGGGTTTTGGGACACTGGGGGAGAGAGAGAGAGACAGAGAGAGAGAGACAATATTCGCACTACAATCTGGAGTCATTCCAGACTAAGGGCCTCAATTCGGTGCACGTTTGCAGCGTAACTGCCTTGTTGCATTGCGCACCCAAATGCGCCGTCTAGATTAACTCCTGTTATATGTATTTATTTGAAAGCCCCTTTCGGAAGAGTCGCCCAAAGCGCCTTTCGTGGCAGAGGTGCGCGCGTCGGGATCACACCTCGCTGCCGAACGGGCCGGGCGTTCAAGCGGCTGGTTAAACAAGGGCCGGGCCATTTGTTAATTGAGGTAATTACGCGCCGGCGGTAATAGGCAGGCCGGTCCCCGGGCAGCCATCAATCATCCTCTCATTGATCTGTCAGCGCTTTCTCTCGCCGCCGCCCCCCCAACCTTTCCAGCAGTTGTCGCCTCTTGAGGCCATTCCGGGGTCTGCCGGAGACCCTCATTTTATTGGGGGGGGGCGGAGGTTAGGTCCTTAGACTGCGCATCAGAATTGCAAAGGAACAGAGAGAGGGAGGGGGCGGCTAGCCCTTGAAGTCCCTCCCCCATGCCGGTCTAGGTGAGGCTGTTCTTGCTTCCATGGGGGGGTCTACCCCCCTCCCCATGCCCGCTGGTGCAGCGGCCCCTCATTTGCCTGGTTCTACCGCTTCCCTCCAGGAGGGAAAGAACGTGAACATTTAAAGCACTGTGTCTTTTTATTAGTATTATTTAGAGGAACGGCTTTCTGGGTTGGCGGAGGGACCCACACGGAGACCGACCGTGCCGGCAGGCCAGCGCAATCCTAAACAGAGTTAGGCGCTCGGTCTAGGGTCGCGCCCAGAGTGGGAAAGAACCCATTCCCTCTGTCATAAAATACCCCAAGGGAAACGACTTCTCCCGGTTGAGATGGGCTGCGTTTAAGCGATGCAAACGCTTGGAGAGCCGTGCAGACTGAGACAGCGGCTGCTCGGTCAGGGCGCAGCTTTTAATTTTGTTTTAAAATAATTTATCCTACTCCTTTAAATTAAAGAAAAAAGTGTGGGGTTTTTTTCCCCGTCAGCCCAAATCAGCCGGTAGCAGGCTCCATTCTAGAAAAGACGTATTCTTCTCCTCCTTTCTCTCCTACACAGGAGGAAACAACTTTAATGCAAGGAGCTCACAAAGTAGAATTTTTGCTCACAGGACTCCACAGCTTAGAGGGAACCTTGGTTGCGAGATCAGTCGGGATGCCTCCGAAGAGCACGATCAGTGTTCCCTCTAAGCTGAGTGAGTGTGAGCTAGCGCACAAGTTTTTAGCCCCCAGCTCACACATTTTTGTCTTGGCTGACGAAGGGTGACTCCAGAGCACGCTAATTTATGCAGCGGCCAAATCACTCGCTCGCAACTTTAATACTAGTAGCTGACAAAGTAGGATTTCTTGCTCACAGGACGCCGCAGCTTAGAGGGAGCATTGGTCACGATCTTGGGTCTGCTTGAGTAAGAAGTCCCAGGAGAACGAGGCTGAAAGCCTATGCAGCTTTACCGAAGAGTAAGCCTCGCCGGACCCTGTGGAGCTTACTTCCAAGTAGACGTGGCGAGGATTTGGCGGGGGCTTTCGCTTTAGGCTGCAATCCCGGCCTCAGTCCCTCGGGAGGAAGCCCCGTGACATCCGGTAGGGCTGCCTTCGGAGGCGCGGTGGGATCTAATTCTGAAAGGGCTGCGCTCCACGATTCCTTCTAGACGAGCCCTTATATCGCAAGCCGCCTCTCGAGACGCAAGGGATAAAGGCGGCTCATACATACTTTGAAATAACTCAAGTCACGTCTGACCAAGTGGGCTGTGCCTCGCTGCCCCATCGGTTCATCTCCAAAGTACCACGAGGTTCTTGGTCGACTTGGGTCCGCTGTAAGACTGACCCGGCTTT